AAACAATGAAATGCGTTAACTGTGGTCAGGGTCATGTGGCGTCATATGGTAGCTGTCAGTCCTTTTTGTCAGAGAAAGCTGTCCTGAACATCAAAGTGAAGGAAGGAGTCTCGTTTCGGGAGGCCCAACGCCGACACAACGATGCGACCACCACAAGGACATACAAAGACGCACTTACTAAACCGGAAATAAATTTAGCCCAAGTAACACCCGCAGCCAACGAGGCACGGAAACTGTGTGGACTTGATGATTTCAAAGGCATGACTAGCTGATTCTAAGCATACTTGTATCAACTGGCCCTGCTGCCCCGTCGTCCCGGAAGCCGGATCTTCCGAAAGACAATCCACCTGCGGAATTGACCGCTACTAGAGGAGCTCAACCTAGGGGGTTGGAACCCCTTGGTGGAGCTGCCAGAGAACCCGGGACTAGGGTGCGACCTGGGAACGGGGGACGGATGGACCGCGGTCCACCGAGACTGTGGACTTCGCCCCCATCATGGCACCCCAGCCCAGCCCGTGCTGAAGACACGCACTCCCGGGCTCCATGTCCCCTCCATCCATACCAGCTACGACGGGACCTGTTCCCGCTGGCACAGCGGCGCTACGAGAGCTGACCCCTCTGGCTTCTCAGCTAGTGACCCTGCGGGGAGCGCCGGTCCTCCCGGCTCACGGGAGCCGGATAAGGTTCGGCATTCCCCAGTCGTCGCTCCCTCCTGGAGCCGCCCTTCTGAAACTGGTACTCGTCCGGGTTCTCTGGACCTGGGACCTGCAGGGCGCGCCGCCAGGTCGGCGTCTGCACCGCGGAACGGGGGCCGGCTCCCGCTGTCGACTCCGCCCCACTCGCCGGGAGGGTCAATGGGCCCGCCTCCCATTCCTCCACTTGGAGACGCGGGATCGGGTCGGCCTGCCCAGCAGTCCCCGGCGGCAGGTCGTGCGACAAAGCGTGCCCCTCCTTGGCCGACGTCGCCTACCGAGGGTGGAAGTCCCAAGGCTCGGCCGAGGGTCCGGCTTACCTCCACTGAAGTAGAGCGTCGCCGGGGAGATTTGTTTAGTGCGAAATTCTAGGTGAACGTTTACAGCACGTGTAAGCTATACCGATGGATCTTAACCGTACACCCTACATACAAGCATGTCTAGCTTGCCAATGATGCTTTTACAATGAAACATGCGTGGCTTGAGGGCCAACATGTCGGACCTTCACACACCGCGATAGCCCTGTCTGCGATAGTGCTCCTACATCTTCGAAGCAGGTTTTGGACACAATCTACCATACATGTGTTCGTATAGCCACTGGGGCTTTTCGTACGGCTCGAACAATAAACTTGCTGGTGGAAGCGAATGAACCGCGTTTGCCTTGTAGGAGACAACGACTTACTTTGAATTACGCTACAAAGGTTTCACAATTTCCGGATCACCCAGCCTTTGAGTTCATCTTCTCCCAGACGTTAATCCGTTCTTTCTTGAGGGGGCAGCCCACGTCAGCGCGGCCGATGTGTCTGCGCGTCCGGGATTGGCTGGATGAGGCGGATGTTACGCTGGATGACATTGCCCCGCACACTCTTCGGGACCCAGCTCCGTGTAGACGTCTGAGTCTGAAGTATGATTTGGAACTTTGTCAGCATCACAAAAATGGTACTTCACCACGAGAGTTCCTCAGCTATTACTTGGAACGTATCTCACAATACGTGAACTCATTACAAATATTTACTGATGGGCCCAAGGGCTCAACAGGAACGGGCTGCGCATTTGTTTGTGGTGATCACACCGTAGGTCTCTGCCTCCCGCATCAAATTTCAGTTTTTTCCTCAGAACTGTTTGCTATTTTAGCAGCGCTTCAGCACTCTACTTGTCGCCCTGAAAGGGATGTGGTCATTTTGGCCGACTCACTTAGTGCACTTTTATCATTAGACCCGACACCTTTGCTGCGTGACCACTCATTTCTGACGCGTTCAGTTTGGGAGGAACTGGAATCACTGGGCAGTATTTCCTGCCGTATCACATTTATGTGGATCCCCAGTCACATAGGGATATTGGGAAACGAGAAAGCAGACGCCGCAGCTTTCGCTGCGGTGTGTGAGAGAAAAACAATGTCAATTGATGTGCCCGCTCGAGATCTGCAGGCGGTCATTTCCAATACACTCTAGATCTGCATTCGGTCATTTCCAACACGCACGAGATTTGCAGTCGGTCATTTCCAAATACGTCCGCAATACGTGGCAGAACAAGTTCGACCAACATCTTCACGCTTCCAGGGAATTCAAGCCCCAACTGGGTGATTGGGAATCTTCCCATCGCCGAAGCCGCTTCCAGGAAGTCGCCCTTTGTACGCTTCGGTTGGGTCATGCATATGCAACATAGTCGTTTTACTTGACGCGTAAGGATGTGCCACGGTGTGATAGATGCGGGGACAGGTTGTGTGTACCCTCTAGCGCTCCTTCATCGGTTACTCGGTCGAGACCCATGTGGTTAACTTGGAGATATACTCGCATTTTTAGCACACATTGACTTGGACATTATTTTCACTCACCCCTTAGTGTAAGTGTGCCAGTGATACTGCCTGTTACTAGCTGACAGCACACTTGTCGCGTCGTCGCAGGCGTAGATAACCGTCATCGAGTGGGCGCAAAATGGCCCCGATGGCGACGCGCCCTTAAACACCAAATCACCCCCACCACGACGAGGGAAATCCGTGTTGCCTCCGGCCGCCCCGCGCTCCGCCCCCTTCGGCGGATCCCGTGCACCACCGCTCGCCGGGCTGTCCGGTGACCGTACGTCTGGCTCGCGTAGTCCCTGCCGCCGCCCAGCTGGCGGCCGCGCGCCGCTCGCTCCGCGTGTATGGGGCGTGATACGGACCTGCGGGTCGTTTGAAGGCGCCGCCGCCGTCGGCGGGTGTTTGTCAACGTGGCGTCCGGGAGCTGCCGCACGCCGCCGGGACCGTCGGTGAGGTACTCCCCGGCGGCCGGGCCGGGGGAGCGGCCGCCGGCTGCCGCGCCCGACGTCACCGGCCGAGGCGGCGGAGCCGGCAGGCTTGCGCTTCCGGCGGGGCGGGGCGCTGAGACAGGGCGTGCACCGGGCCGGAGAGCCCAGCTGCCGAAGCCGGCATGCTCGCGCTTCTGGCGGGGGCGGGGCGCTGAGACGGGGCGTGCACCAGGCCGGAGCCAGCGGGCTCGCGCCGACGGCCGGGCGGGGCGCTGAGACCGGACGTGCACCGGGCCGGAGAGCCGGTCGACAGCGGCCGACCCGGCTCGTCTGGCCGTGAGGGAGCCGGCGCGGCGCGGCGGTAAGGCTGACATCGACGCTCGGGTCGGAAGCCGCGCAGCTGGGACCGGCGGCCTGATGGGGCTGCTCGGGGCCTGCGCTAGGTCAATACGGGTCGGTGTTTCGTATGTGGAGGCCCCACACTCAGCGTGGTGCGACGCTGCGCCTCCGACGGCGTGAGTAGAGGAAATGTTCATAGCAAGAACAGTCAGATGTGCTGCCATTTGGAGCGGCATCGCAGTGGCCCCCACGGTCACAGGTTTTAGCACGGACTGCTGAGGTTCAGCTTATCGCTAGACGGAACCCAGAGACGGGCCTGGCTTATCGCTGGACTGGGCCCCAGAGACGGGCCCGGCTTATCGTTGGGCGGAGTTCCAGAGACAGGTCCGGCTTATCGCTGGACTGGGCCCCAGAGACGGGCCCGGCTTATCGCTGGACTGAGTTCCAGAGACGGATCCGGCTTATCGCTGGACTGAGCCCCAGAGACGGGTCTGGCTTATCGCTGGACGGAGTTCCAGAGACGGGTCCGGCTTATCGCTGGACGGAGTTCCAGAGACGGGCCTGGCTTATCGCTGGACTGGGCCCCAGAGACAGGGCTGACAGTCGGCTTGCCACAGCTGCGAACGGTCAGCCCGGCTGAGGACGGTCATGCTTGAAGTACTGTTAGCACCGAAATAAACACAGCCGGGAATGGTTTATATCCAGGTAACAGTGAGGTGGCGTGGCCAGCTGTTCCACTCACTATTTCATCATTAGATCCACGTCGCGCAGAGTTGATACCTGCTGCAGTGATGGATGTTTTCCTCTGCACGCCCGTGCAAACCGTACGAGATGAGTTCGGAAGAAATAGTCGAATGTGCAGAACATTTTCCATTCTGTTGCATCGCTGCCGACTGATGTGCATTATTGCATGAATACGGCCGTGTGTTTGAAACGAATTGTCATTCAGATTTGAATGGGCTTCATCCGTTTTTGTTTTTGTTTTTGTTTTTGTGTGGACGGTTGCGTTTCACGAGCTCCTCTTGTTAGCTGCGTTCTGTGATGCGATAAACAGAACTAAGGTGCGTCGGAGGATCGTCGTGACCTACGTGCCGTCTATCTGTTTAGGTAAAATGCCACGCCCATGAGCTCACAAAGAGCCCAGAGGGCCGGACAGGTCAGGGTGTCCGGTACCCCATGAGTCACTGGGAGTAGATGTAGGCCGCCAGACTGCGGCACAGTCCTCCTACTTTCGCGTACTTATTTGTTTCTTGCTAGGGCAATAATATTGAGCGGTGAAACTTCTCGCTGGTAGGAATGCGTTGGTCATGGTCTCCGTCGCGGCTTGCCGGCGCCAATAGCCCAGTGTGTGCCCAATGCATTGGCCATTGGGCTCCATTAGGGCGTGTGCAAACAACGTGTCAGCGTTCGGGCTATTGATACCGCAGACTGTGCTGCGCTGATGTCTCAAGCTCCGACGACACGGACACTGCCCATCAGCGAGACCGGCATGATGTGTGCTCTTCCGGCGCGATTTCCGGCGCGAATAGTGACGTAGGTGTGGTTGTGTTTCGCGGCGGGCAGGAACGTGAAACAGCTGCAGTCGATGGGCCGTAAACACCGTCACTGAATCACATCCTTTCTGTGGCGTACCCCCCCAGAGAGCGTGTGACACAGAGCGTAGCCGCTGCCCCGGCGGCCGCCCTCCCCGGCGCACCGAACCCCAATCGTGACGCGCCCCGGCCGGCCCTGCGGCGCCCACAGGTGACGAAGCGCGAGGGCGACTCGTCGCTGATGCAGCTCAAGGAGGAGTTCCGCAACCTACGAGGCGCTGCGGCGCGAGCACGACGCCCAGATCGTGCAGATCGCGCTGGAGGCCGGCCTGCGCATCGCGCCCGACCAGTGGTCAGCCTGCTATACGGCGACCGTGGCGCACAAGTCGCACATGCAGAGCATCATGGACAAGCTGCAGGTGGGCGGTGGTGGCGGCGCGGACCGACCCCGCCCCGAGCTGCGATCCTGCCCGGGCGTGGCCGTGTCCGGCGCGCGGGCACGTCCTGCTGCCGGCCGGTAACCACCGACCTCTGCGCGGAGCGCTGATGCTTGGACCGGGGTCGTGAACGCCCCAGTGCGCTTTTGGTAGGCGGATGTGCTGATTTCACGGGTCGCTACCGACCGCTGTCGGTGTTCACGTTACGTAAGCGTGCCTGCAGATTGGCACGGCGCGGGCCGGATCGGGCTCATGTGATATGCAGTGGAGTTTTAAGGTGGTGCTGGATCCATTTCAGTCCCCGTCCAGCTTTCAAACCAGTCGATACAGGAGCTAATAATATCGCTACAGAAGACGGGCGACCCGGCCGGGCTGTCCCAGACGCGGCTGCGGCTGCAGACACTGGCCGCCGTCGATCCGGCGCCGGGTAAGGTCATATCAGGTCACTGGTGTCTCCAGGCTCCGTGACAACGTGGCCTCAGCCACCAAGTAGATGATGTGGTAAACATTGCCGATCATCTTGTTCGTCATTACTCATTGTTCTTTCACTGGCCAGAGTCATTGGTTACGATCGCTCTGGCGCTTGGGTCTGGCTCATCTGGTTATGCTGTCTTTGGGAATATTAGACATTAATCAATGTCGCTCCTTGCCGTGCTGAGCTGGACGCCTGGGTACGCAGTGTCACGCATCGCATCGCGTCGCATCCTGGGCACGCGCGCAGTGTCACGCATCACACCGCGTCGTACCCTGGATACGCGCGCAGTGTCACTCATCGCATCGCGTCGTATCCTGGGTACGCGCGCAGTGTCATGCATCCCATCGCGTCGTATGCTCCGTCTGCGATGTGCACGCTGCCGGCTGACGCCGTCGGACCTTGCTCCGCCCGGCAGACTCGCTCGACACGGACTGGGAGCAGGTGGTGACGGCGCTGGAGGCGGCCGTCGAAGTGGTGCGTGTGCTCATCAGCTTCGTGCACAACCACGGCGGCCGGCGTGTGCACGTGGACACGACGCACGCGCATAATGCCAAGTACAAAACGAATCTGTGCCGCGACCTGAAGCAGCGCGGCACGTGTCCGCGCGGCCCCGCCTGCACCTTCGCCCACTCCGAGGAGGAGCTGGAACGGTGAGCGCCGGCTGGAGGGAGCGACGGGAGCAGCGAGCCCGCCCGGCTGGGTCACGGCGCCTGCCGCGGCCGGTCTCGCGGCCGCTGCTCTGTCAGGCCGGCCGGCGCGGCGCTGTCCGTCGCCCTGTCGTCTTACGACGCCGCGCGGCCTGCGCGCCCGCTGGCCAGCGCTGCCGTGCCGTGGCGTGCCCGGCTGACCGCCGACCTGCCGTGCCGTGGCGTGCTGAGCTGACCGCCGACCTGCCGTGCCGTGGCGTGCTGGAGCTGACCGCCGACCTGCCGTGCCGTGGCGTGCTGGGCTGACCGCCGACCTGCCGTGCTGTGGCGTGTTAAGCTGACCGCCGACCTTCCACCAGGTACCCGGCGCCAAGAGCCGCCGGCCCAAGAAGGCGGCGGGACCGGGCCGAGTCGCCGGCCCGCCACCGCCACCGTCGCTTCCTCCGCACGGCGGCCGGCCTGCCGCTGCGACCGCAAAGGGTGGCGCCACCTACCGGCTACCAGCCGATGGCCGGCTTTGCACCGGTGCAGCCGGTGCCTCCTCACAGCGTGAGTGGCGGCTCGAGCCGGGCGCCGACGCCGCGCCACTGGCATAGCTTCTTGGCTGCGGGGCAAAAGGCCGCGTTTGAGTTGGACGCGCGCGTGTACAACGCAAGACTGTAGCAGGCCGACGAGCCAGTCCACTTGAAAGCTGAAATTGGCAGAGTGACAGTGAACGCTGCTGCTGTCCAAGTACAGAAAAAAACGCATGTCCGGGCATTCCCAAATGGCGAAGTGTTCTCCAACTGCAGTCTCACTCAGTTGTAGTGCCATACCGGCGTTTCCTGTCCCCGACTATGCTATTCGCGATGTTGTGGTTATGGCGCTATTAGCCCCGTCCAGGACGTGTCGGCCGCCGTGTCCGCCTCGCGCCGCTCGTTTGACCCTCGTCGGTGACCCTGGCAGGCGTGATGGGCCTAGTGCCGCCACCGGCCGTCCCAGTGCCGGTGGTGGCATGCGGTGGCGCGCTGCCCTACCAGCTGGAGTACTTCACGCCCGTCTGCAGCCCGGGCCCGGCGGGCGTGCTGCACCAGCAGCTGGTACCGGCCGTGCAGGCGGCGGCGCCCCCGCCACCTCAACCGCCACCTCCGCCGCGCCGCCGCCGCGATGGCTGGCCCACTGTACGGTAGGTCGGAGCGGCGCGAGGCAGCCGCCGACCCTGCGCGGCGTTCTGCGGCGCTGCGGTGACGCTCAGTTGATAGGCGTTTCAATGTACACAGTACGGTCCCATAGCACGGTTCAGGATGCAGTGTGCACTGCACAGTCCCGCCTTATGGAACATCATCGCTGTCCATCCCGCCTCACGGTACTAATCGCTGTCCACTCCCGCCTCACGGTACTAATCGCTGTCCAGTCCCGCTCACGGTACTCGCTGTCCATCGCGTCCGTCCGCCTCACGGTACTCATCGCTGTCCAGTCCCGCCTCACGGTACCCATCGCTGTCCAGTCCGCCTCACGGTACCCATCGCTGTCCAGTCCCGTCCAGCCTCACGGTACCCATCGCTGTCCAGTCCCGCCTCACGGTACCATCGCTGTCCAGTCCCGCCTCACGGTACTATCGCTGTCCAGTCCCGCCTCACGGTACCATCGCTGTCCATCCCGCCTCACGGTACCCATCGCTGTCCAGTCCCGCCTCACGGTACCCATCGCTGTCCAGTCCCGCCTCACGGTACCCATCGCTGTCCAGTCCCGCCTCACGGTACCCATCGCTGTCCATTCCCGCCTCACGGTACTAATCGCTGTCCAGTCCCGCCTCACGGTACCATCGCTGTCCAGTCCCGCCTCACGGTACCCATCGCTGTCCGTCCTCACGGTACTCGCAGTCCATCCCGCCTCACGGTACCCATCGCTGTCCAGTCCCGCCTCACGGTACCCATCGCTGTCCAGTCCCGCCTCACGGTACCCATCGCTGTCCAGTCCTGCCTCACGGTACCCATCGCTGTCCAGTCCCGCCTCACGGTACCATCGCTGTCCAGTCCCGCCTCACGGTACCCATCGCTGTCCAGTCCGCTCACGGTACCCATCGCTGTCCAGTCCCGCCTCACGGTACCCATCGCTGTCCAGTCCCGCCTCACGGTACTCATCGCTGTCCAGTCCCGCGGCCTTCTCGTAGGGCGCCGTGACTGCGCACCGTCTCTTTGTGCAGCTCAGAATATACCGTACTAGTTACCTTCTCCGCTTTCCTTCTGAGCTGATCTACTTACCCCATCAGTGCGGCGCACATACCAGAGTGGGGCCCGGCTGTGCGTGCGTGCGTGCGTGCGTGTGTGTGTGTGCGCGCGTCGTAATGCCATCATGTTGTTCATGTGCTCAGCAGCGTGTTTAGGTAGCCTGGGTGTAGACTATGTAGGAAGAAGATAATTTCTCGCACGGTATGTCGCTGTAGTCCCCAGCGACAGCGCTGTGTCCGTACTGACGTATGTTGTACCGTCAGTGGGCGGCACGGTATGCCGCTGCAGTCGTCAGTGACGCTGTGTCCGTACTGACGTATGTTGTGCCGTCAGCGGGCGGCACGGTATGCCGCTGCAGTCGTCAGTGACGCTGTGTCCGTACTGACGTATGTTGTGCCGTCAGCGGGCGGCACGGTATGCCGCTGCAGTCGTCAGTGACGATGTGTCCGTACTGACGTATGTTGTGCCGTCAGCGGGCGGCACGGTATGCCGCTGCAGTCGCCGCCGCGACCTGGCCAGGCCATCACGTCGCTCAGCTCGTCCGGTCTCCACTCGGCCGGCGGCAGCATCGCCTCCACGGCAGCCAGCGCCGCCGGCGTTGCCGTCAACGTCAACTCGTCGGTCAGTGGCGTCAGTGGCCGCGGC